AATGTTGGTATCCATACAGGAGGAGGATTCTCTCTCTCCTATTTGAACGGTTACGATTAGGCTGCATCAACATCTTATATTAATTTTTTTTATAGAATCAATAAAACAAAAAGCAAAGTGTATGAAAGGAGGGAAGGAAATGTGATGGAAATATGAGACAGCAGCAACACCTGCTCCCTGTGTTAGAACCGTTGGTTCTTGCGTTTGTGTTTTGCTGCATTCCCCAATATTTTGAACCATCTGCAGCAGGAATCAAAATCACAAACCTTTACACTAAAGAAAAAAAAAAGAATTCCTGAGAAATCTCTCAAAGCAGCAGCGCTCAAACTCTCATCAAAATTCCACTCCAAGTAGCTATAAATCCATCAGAAACCTTCATCAGGATTCAGGTGTGCTTCTTTTTTTTTTCTTGTTTCGGCTATTTATTAAGTTATTTTCTAGATTTATTTGCCTAAGAGTGTGTCATCTTAAAAACTCCCTAATTTTCGTAGTTTTTGCTCTCAAGATCCCTCATTTTTTTAATTTTTTTAATTTTTTTTTTCATACACTTGGTTTCTGGTCACAAAGCTCTCACCTTTTAGCCCAAATTTTATGGCATTTTTGCTGACAAAATTCTTCTTTTCTCTTTGTGTTTGCCCAATGCTCTCCCCTTTTCTTTGTTTTTGCGCACAAATTACGGATTTCACTTCAGTGCTACGCAATATTAATATCTACAAGCAATGTAAAATGCTACATTACATGGAAGAATTTTCCCACAAATTACACTCATTTTTTAAATTTGCTCACAAACTTATGGCATGTTTACGTAACCGTAATCAAAATTGAAGGAATTGGATTGAGGAGAATCAAAATCCAGATTTCTATAAAAGCTGTTTACTAAAATGTTCTGGAATCGGAATAGAAATGATAGTGAATTCATAAAACTGTTTACTAATTCAACATAATCAGAGTATAAAATATTACAACTAATAAAATGCCCATGTCACAAATCAAAAATTTTATGCTTATTTTTTTAATACAATTTTATATAATATAATAGTAAATGAAAAAAGTGATTTATCTGTGGCTGTAGAACATTACAACCGCATTTCCTTCTTTGATTATTTTTCCCTTATTCATCTCCTTCCTCTCTTTGGCGTCCTTCCTTTGATTTTTTTTTTCCTTTTTTTTTCATCTCCTCATTCCTTTGATTTTCCCCCATTTTTTCATCTCCTCTTTCCTCTCTTTGTTTCCTGCTCCTTTGTCCTTCCTCTATCTGACGTCATTCCTTTGATTTTTTTCCTTTTTTTCATCTCCTCCTTCCTTTGATTTTTTTCCCTTTTTTCATCTCCTCTTTCCTCTATCTGTTTCCTGCTTCTTCATCGGTGCAAGTTAGAACGCCATATTCAAAAATAGTTTGTCAGAACCTCGAATTTCTGCAATAGTGCAAGCGCAGACGAGCTTCTAACGGCGGCTTCAAAGTTTAATCCAGTACGGTGCATGTGCATATGAAGGGGTCTTGGTGCTAAAGTTGTAAGGGAGTCGACGAGAAAGAAAAATAGATGGAGGGCTGGGTGCTGAAGTAAGGGTATTTTGGGTAGGAAAGTGATGCGAAAATTACTTGACACACAAATTAAACCCTCTTTTTGACAATTGTAGTATAGATGTAAGTAGGGTATCGTTCTAGGCCGGGGATTAGGAGGGATTGCTAATCTATCCTAAATTAATTTAAAAATATTAAACAAGACTCAAGGACACAAAACTAGGCTAAAAACTCTAATAACTCGAAACACACTTAGAATGACTCAAAATAATGAAAACAATCAAATTAGACACTAGGAACTGAAATGGACGGAAATTGAATTAAAAGACTAACAACAATGAAAACTAACTAAATAATATAATTTAATAATGGGGGTAGTTTGGTTTTGACGAGAAGTAAATTAAACTTAAATAAATTACAGAATTGACAAAAGCATGAAATTAAGGTGAAATGATAAGTGACGGATTAGCTAGAGGGTTCTTCTCCACACATGACACATATGCAACCTAAATTGATTTTCAGTTGTTCTTTCAATAAATTGTAAATCTCAACGCCCCAAATTAACCGTGAATTGCACTAATTAACCCTCAGTTTTTCCACAATGTTATTGGGTTGGATGATTGCATACGACAACCCAAAACATTCCCTACAAGTTCCCTACATGAATTGCATAATAGAGATACAAGCAAGAATCATTAAGTTCTATGAAAAACATAAGCATTGACGAGGCACTCGTTACTATGATTTGCATGAAACTTATGCCAAGAATTTACTTAACGTGATTGTGACTAGCAACCTTCACTACTTGTGAATATAAGTTCATAACGATTAGGTGAAATTCACTTATATTCTAGCATCAAATTCATGCATGTAAATTAAGTATGCATCCTTAATCGACATACAAAAATAAGTTATCAATCAAGCAGTTAAGCAAATTAAATCACAACTGAAGGTAATCAATTCATATTACAAATATATTCATGGCTTTGAATTAACCTCTAGCCAAAATAAATTTAATTACACATTATTAAAACAGAAATAAAATAGAAGTTTGGAAAGATTTAACCAAGAGAGAAGATTGAAGCCTTCTGTTTTCTGTGCAGCTTGCAGCTCTGATGTTTCTGTTTTTCTGTCGCTGGCACTGCAGCTTTGCTGCTTCTCCCTATCCACCCTCTGGTCTCACGCTGGCGCTCACGCTGCCCAAAGGCAGCCTATTCCTTCCTTTTCTTATTTTATTTCCGCTGACTTCTGACCTTTCTCACGCTGCTCCAAAGCAGCCTCCCTGCAATCCTCTCTCGCTGCCAAAGGCAGCGCCCCTTCTCCAGCTCCCGCGTCACTCTCTTCTATCTCTCCCCGTACTGACCTCTCTTCTCTCGCCCTCTTTCACTCTGCCCAAAGGCAGCTCTTTCCTTTCCCTCACTCCCCCTAATCACGCCAGCCTCTTCTTATTTTTATATCTTTCTTCTTAGCTACCCCAGCAGCTTTCCTTTTTTTTTTATTCTTCCCCTTTCTCACGCTGTCTCTCCACTCCTCTTCTTTTCTTCTTTTAATCCGTCAGTGCTCCACCTCTCCTTTCTTTATTCAATTTCTGTTTTTCCTTAGTGTATTCCTTTCCCCATCCACTTCTATTTTTCAAGCTTGCCGCCTCCACCAACTCCCTCTATTATTTTTCTGTTTTCTTTTTGGCAGCCTTGCTGCCTTCCACTTCACGCTTTGCCCCAACATATTTCCACATGTGTTGTCCATGCAAGCTTTCCATCTTTTTGTCACTGCCAAGGCTCACGTTTTCCTCCTAGCTGCAAAGGCAGCTCCTCACTTTTTGTTTAGTCTGTGACATTACACAAATTAATTAATCCATTAAAGAAACAAATATGTGATTTTCATTGATGGGAAGCAGACAATTAATAATTTAAAAAGACGAATTTAGCCAAGATTCAAGTAATTAAGAACTAGATAATAATTAAAAACTCATTTGTGCCATTTTTATTTTCTTTGCATAACAAATCCTATAAACACAAAAATAACGTAAATAGCTCAAAAATATAAGGAACTAACCAAGAAAAGACGAGTGAATTTAAAGTAAAAATATATATAAATATGATCCGATCAGAAAGTATGATTCCGAATAAAGGCTTTCACCCGGAGTGGGATTACCACCTCCATCTCAGTAATCCAATTCTTCCACAATCTGGAATTGAATTCATGTTTTCTAGTGAACCCCACCATGTTTTCATTCCCAAAATGTTGAGTAAACATTGGAATCCTTTCAATCGGGAATGATTCCCTTTCATTTCATTCCAATCCTGGTTGGTAAACACGCCATTACTGTTTTTCTTGTTTTTTTTTTCCTTACAAGTTCTCACATTTTCTTTGTTTTTGCTTACAAAGTACACTCTTTTTCTTTGTTTTTGTTCACATATTCTCTTATTTTCTTTGTTTTTGCTCACACTTCTCTTACTTTCTTAGTTTCTGGTGACAAACTCTCTCATTTTACCAGTTTTATGGAATTTTTGTTGACAAGATTCTTCTTTTCTCTTTGGTTTGCTCAAAGCCCTCTCCTTTTAGACAATGGCGATGACATTTCGACTCATTGCCTCTTCTTGCAGTAAGCAGCGTTGTAATTTCATAGTCACTGTAGCATTAGCTTTTACTGCTGCAGTTAGCTAACCCTTGAACAGAACAGATCATAACCAATTTCAAAAGAGGTGGAGGAGCTCTTCCTCTTCCTCTGCGGCCAACACTGCCACAAAAGGTGGTAACTTTTCTTTTAGTGATTCAAATGAGCTAGACGATATGAAACACGCACCTTGAGACTTCAACCAAGTTTTTCAGAACATGTTGATCGATGGAAAAAAAAAATGGAGAACACAGTCAAGATGATTTACGGATTGATCAAATACAACAACTTTGACATGGCCAAGGAAATTCGGGACCAAATAGAAGACACACGAAGGTTGTCACCGTCACTGCAGTCATTGATCACTATGCCAATGCTAGAAGAACTAATGACTTAAGTGACAATTATATATTCCTTCCGAGCATCTTGTTCGAGAGAGTAGAATCCAATGAGCATTCTCAGACCTTGAATCTTCCATGACTCTCTAATCTTTCTCTTTGCACATTTTCAATTTCATATACACCTTTCCATTGAATCAATTCAACCCAGAAATCAAACACTATCATGGCCTCGGAGCCAGGTTCGATCTCGATCTGGGAGGAGAATCGGGTTTTGCTGCAATTGAAAAAAACTTTGAAAGTTTCTGGGTTACTCGATAACAAGTCTAATATAGCTGGATCGAGTGGTGCTGATCTTCGAGCACTGGTTTTCAATGGAGAAAACTTCGATTTCTGGCAGATAAAGATGAAGACCATATTCAAATCTCATGATCTCTGGGATATGGTTGAGAAGAGATATAGTCCCCCAACAAAGAGAGAATAAGAGCTCACTACAAACAAGCTTAAGTTTCTAAAGAAGAACATGGTCAAGGATGCTAAAGCTCTCGGCATCATTCACGGGGCTGTGTCGGATGAAATTTTCCCAAGGATCGCCAAACTAGAGACGACAAAAGAAGCTTGGGATGTACTGAAGCAACAGTTTGTTGGTGACAAGCAGGTAAGATCTGTGAAACTTCAAAGTTTAAGGCATGGTTTTAAATATACTCGAATGGGTGAGCATGAGACATTCTCTGTGTATCTTGTGCGATTACTTGATCTTATTACACAAATGAAGAGTTATGGTGAAGATATTGGAAATCAAAGAATTGTGCGGAAGTTGTTAATTAATCTTCCTAAATCTTATGATAGTATTGTTAATGTGATTGAAAATACTAGGGATTTGGAGATTGTTGATGTGCAGGATGTTGTTGCTACTCTAAAAGGGTATGAACAACGAATTGAGAGGCATTCTGAAAATAGCAGTGAGAAGGCATTTGCTAGTTTGAGTATAGCTCCCAAGATGAACAATTATAATGCCAATCAAAATTTCAAATCAACAAAGAATTGGAAGACAAATGGTAAAAAGTGGGATAACAAACATGTGCATCAACAAGGGAAAATTGTTGGAACTTCTGATGAAGCCAATAACCCTTGCAAATATTGTGACAAATTGCACTTTGGAGAATGTTGGTTCAAGGGGAAACCAAGGTGTCATAATTGTGATAAGCCAGGCCATTTTGCCAAAGATTGCAGGTCTAAGAAAGCTACTAAGCAAGTGAATTATGTTGGTCAAGTGGAGAACACTCCAACAATATTTTATGTATATATATCAGCTGCGGTGAAGAAGGGTGAAGACATTTGGTATGTTGATAGTGGCTACAACAATCACATGACAGGGAGAAAAGACCTCTTGGTGAATATTGATAGAAGTGTCACTGCTAAAGTTGAGATGGGCACATGGCAATTGGTCAATGTAGTTGGAAAAAGGTGACTTGCTAGTTGAAACTAAGCAAGGCAAAAGGTACATAAAGGAGATAATGTTGGTGCTTGGTTTAAAAGAAAATTTGTTGAGTGTAGGACAGATGATGGAACATGGGTACTACCTTGTATTTGGGGGTATTGAAGTTAGAATTTATGATAATTTCACATGTTCCAACTTAGTTGTTAAGATCCCTATGAAGGGAAATAAAAGCTTTCCTTTAAAGTTGCAACCAAGAATTCAAATAGTTATGAGAGCTAGTGTTGGACAAGTTGCTGAGATATGGCACAGAAGACTAGGGCATTTGAACATGAGTGCTCTAATACAACTACAAGAGCATGAAATGGTGACTAGATTACCTAAGTTGAAAGTGAACACCACAATGTGTGAAGGATGTGCACTTGGCAAGCATTGCAGATATGCTTTTCCCAAGGAAACTAATTGGAGAGCTGCTCTACCATTGGAGTTGGTTCATACTGATATCTGTGGACCTATGCAAACACCTACCAAAGCTGGAAATAAGTAGTTCATTACTTTCGTAAATGATTGCACCAGAATGTGATGGGTTTTATTTTCTGAGAAGTAAGCCTGAGGCATTTGGTGTGTTTAAGAGATTCAAAGCAACTGTTGAGCTATAAAGTAGGTACAAACTAAAGAAATTAAGAAGTGACATAGGATGAGAGTACACTTCTCTTGAATTCTCTAAGTTTTGTGAAGATCTTAGCTTGGAAAGACAGCTCATAGTGGCCTATTCTCCTCAACAAAATGGTGTTGCAGATAGGAGAGATAGGACCGTTGCAGAAATGGCTAAATGCATGATGTTGTAGAAGGGTATTTCATTTGAGTTTTGGGTAGAAGCAATTAACACTGCAGTCTATATTCTCAATAGATGCCCTACAAAAGTCCTGAATAAGAAGACTCCATTTGAAGCCTATAGTGGAAGAAAGCCTAGAGTGAAACACTTAACAGTGTTTGGATCTCTATGTTATGCACAAGTTCCATCACAAATGAGAAAGAAATTGGATGCAACAAGTGTCAAATGTGTATTTCTTAGTTATGGAACCTGTGTTGTATAATCCTAAAACCAAGAAAATAGTTATCTCTATAGATATGATTTTCGATGAGAATGCTAGTTGGGATTGGAAATCTTATGCTGAGAAAAATGTGACTATTGCAGTTGCTAATTGAGTACATGGAGATGAAGGGATCAATGTTGAGATTTAAGAGAATGTTGGAGATGTGGAGTGCACAGAGTCATTGCAGGAGCAACATCAGCAAGTTATTGCTTCTCCTACAAGTCAAGGAGAACAAGTGAGGCAAGTTGGTCCACAAGAGCATGATCATACTTCTCCCAGGTTTAGAAGCCTAAATGAAGTACATGAGAGGTGCATTTCTGTGTAATGGAACCTGAGTGTTTTTTAAGAGGCATTAGAAGATGAAGCTTGAAGAAATGCTATGTACACAAAGATTGAAATGATAGAAAAGAATGATACCTGGGAGTTAGTGAATAGGCCATTTGATAAACCAATGATTGGTGTCAAATGGGTCTATAAGACAAAACTTAACCTTGATGGCTAAGTGCAAAAGAACAAGGCAAGGTTAATGACAAAGGGCTATTCACAAAAGCCTGAGGTTAATTTCAATGAAACATTTGCACCAGTGGTAAAGCTTCATACTATAAAACCCTTCCCCAAATTTATTATTAATTTTACATTTCCCCTAAAGGTTTACACCTTTGTACATTTTGATCCCCTTTATCCTTAACCAATCCGGATCCTTTTTAGATTTTCTCTCATCTCTTTAGTTGCCACGCAGCAATTCCCTAACCCTTTCCTTTATTCTCTCTTTCTCCTTCCCCGATACTTCACTCTCACTCAGCACTCACACTTTTCTCTATCTCTTTCTCTCACACACATAACCTCTCTTTATCTTTTTCATTTTCCCTTTTCTCGATTGACACCCACATCACCCACTCACACTTGAGACCGTCGCACTCACCGACGATAGTACCACCACCATCACCGACGTTTACTATCTCTCCCTTTATCTTTGTGAAACTCCAAAGCACCTAAAGGGCACCCAAAACCCAGACCTTGGCGAGCTCAGTGAGTGTCAAGCAAAACCCAGCCACCTCCAGCCTTTCCACGTCGAGTCTCAGGTAACACTCTCTTCCTCTCACTCCTACCTTTGTTTTAACACCTAGATCAGACCCTAAGGAAATAGATCGTCGTCAACCGGAGCTGAGGAAGCTCTAGCGTCCTCTTTCCTATCGAACCAGGCCGTTGGGCTAGCTCATCCAAAACCCAATCAAACTAGGCCCATTTGAACCATGTATAGGACTCGGGCCTTATGCCCGTTAAACCCAACCCAAAACCTATGTTTTATTTTAATTATTTTAATTATTTAGTTTCTAAAACCTAAAGGCCTTTGGGCCATTTCCTTTAGAGCCTTAGGCCCGTACACCCTTTTAACCCTATACCCTGGGCCGGGCTTCCAAGCCCAAGCCCGTGTGTTATAACCTAAAAGAACCAGCCTTAGGGTCGAATGGAACTTGAGTTGTCCATAACCCGTTCATCCTAAACCTTAAACCCTTCGGGCCTTAAGCCCAAAACCCAAACCCAAAAAACCCTTGGGCCTTAGAACCCAATCCCAAACCCTTTAGGCCTTGACCCAACCCAGTGGACCGATCCAACCCGGATCGTTGACCTTGACCCGACCCAGTCTGACAGTTGACCCGGTCAACAGTCAACGTTGACTTTGACTAGTCAAATGGTCAATGTTGACTTTTTGGGGTTTTCGTTTGGGACCCCTCCTAGGCTAATTTCGACGTCCTGAACCCGTTTTCCCAAATTCAATCGTTTGAATAGATTTTTACTGATTGGACCCTTTATGTGCTTAGGTGCATTTATTATGGCGTTTCTATCTTCGCTAGTTTGCGTGGCTTTTCAACGGCGAAGTATCTATGAGTAGACCCCTTCTAAAATGCATGTTTTAATAGTATAATTGCATGCATGAAAAGCATGATTTAATGATTACGTTTTATGAAACGTTTTATGAGATATTATGTTTACTTAAAATATTTTGGAATATCATATTTTCTATCGAACCCATGTTCTTTGTACGATATCTGATGGATGACAATATACTATTTAGAACATGTTTTTACACACTTCTTTATAGTATAGATGATGGATGACTTTATACTATGAAGATGTTTTTGAGATATATGTACTTATATTTGGAAAGACTATATTCAATGCTTTATGCGTAGCTAGTGGTCATTGTTATGCCTGTTTGGCAATGATATTTATATTGGCTTTGTGACGGGCTTAGGTTGGCCTGTTTGGCAATGATATTTATTTTGGCTTCGTGCCAGGCGTAGGTTGGGCTTGTTTGGCAAATGAAGGAAGTGTTCTAAATGGCATGTTTGGCAAATGAAAGGTTCTGATTGAATAGATATTGATCCTGATACCACTAGTTAGCGCACTATATATGATGTATGTTTTGAAGGTTTTATGGCATGCTAGGGTTTTCGGAAAACCTACTACATATTATGCTATTGATTTTCATAAAACTTTAGGGGTTAGTATGTTGACAACTGTTTTATTATTATTATTATATATCAACTTGGTCCACTCATGTTTGTTTTGTGCCCCTTCATGACTTAGAATCGAGGCGTATAATCCTGGCGTTAGGGCATTTCTGCATCGGCATCTTCAAGTCTTATCGGTGTAGGATCCATTCTTTTATTCATTCAATTTATATTATTTTCTTTTAGTGTTTTAGATTAGATGTGTGCTCTGAACACGTTCCTAATTTGCATATTAATTATATTTAAATTTATAAGTCTTATTTATTTCTTGTTCTCATGCATTCTAAATGGCTTCCGTCACCTTCGGGTGTTGGCCAGCACGTACCTATCCTGGTGTTCGGAGAATATCGGGATCGGGGCATGCCATATACCATTAGGACTTTAATTGCATTGGCAGCTCATAAGGAATAGAGATTGTTCCAATTGGATGTCAAATATGCATTTCTAGATGGTACACTGCATGAGGAAGTATAAGTTGATCAACCACAGGGATTTAAAGTGAAAGGACAAGAAGACAAGGTTTACAGACTGAAAAAGGCTTTATATGGTATGAAACAAGCTCCCAGAGCTTGGTATGATGAGATAGATACCTACTTCAACAAGTTTGGATTTAAAAGAAGCCAAAGTGAAACTACTTTATATACCAAATTCAGTGATGCAAGTGTGCTTATTGTGTCTCTGTATGTAGATGATATTATCTACACAGGGAGTTCTGATGAAATGATTCAAGAATTTAAGATGGACATGATGAAGCAATATGAGATGTCAGACTTGGGATTGTTGCATCATTTCCTTGGTTTGGGCATAATTCAAACTGAGAAGGGCACATTTATTCATCGGAAGAAATATGCCTAGTCTTTACTTGAGAAGTTTGGTTTACAAGACTGTAAAGCAGTGAAAATACCACTTGCTATCAATGAAAAGTTGTCTAAGGTTGATGGAAGTGAGGAAGCAGATGAAGGCTTATATAGGAAGATGGTTGGTAGTTTGTTATACCTAACAGGTACTAGACCAGATTTGATGTATGCATCCTGTTTGTTGGCAAGATTTATGCATAAGCATACCATAAAGCACATGGGGACAGCTAAAAGGGTCTTGAGATATGTATAAGGGACACTGGATTTTGGAATTGAGTATGTGAAGGTAAAAAAGTTGTGTTGATAGGCTATTGTGATAGTGACTAGGTAGGGAGTGAAGATGATATGAATAGTACCTCGGGTTATGCATTCAGTTTTGGCTCAGGGATATTCTCTTGGGCTTCTATCAAGCAATGCAGTGTGGCTTATCCACTGCAGAAGCTAAATATGTAAGTGCTGTAGAAGCTACAACACAAGCAATGTGGCTAAGGTTTGTGCTATCTGATTTTGGAGAGGAACAAGTGGAGGCTACACCCTTGCTATGTGACAATACCTCTGTCATA